TAATGATGACGGTGATACGGTGGATGATGGGACCTATGCCTTGCCATGGCAAAGTGGAAAGGAGCTTTCCAAGCTATGGGACGAGATAATTCCATGCTTTGAAGGCGGAAGAATGCCAAAACGGATTATGGAACTAGGGTCGGGAGCTCTGGGATTGGTGGGATTGTCCTTTTGCGTCAGTCTGCAAGAAGGGTTACTGGAAGCAAAATCTACAGTGCTCTTGACCGATGTGCCATCGGCCATGCCACTGTTGCAACACAACTTGGAACACAATCAATCACTCTTGCCAGATGGACTCGTGGTAAACGCCAAACCACTTCCATGGGCAATGGACCGTCCAGACGACGACAATCATGAGGCCAAGACTAATGAACCACCGTATGATTGCATCTTGGGATCTGACTTGCTGTACAATGAAAAGTTCATCCCGCATTTGGTAGCTACCACCAAACGATTGCTTCATCCGATACGTGGCATTTTCATTCTGGCCGTCCGTTGGAGAAAACCAGACCTGGAACGGGAATTCTTTCAGGAATCAGGATTGGTGTGGGAACTGATCCAGCCTACGTCTGGAGCTCTGAGCTGTCCTTTGGACTGGAGAGCTTTTGGCGATCCAAAGAATGAAAAATCCAACTTGTATTTTCATCAGACGCAAATATCAGTCAAAGGCAAACCAAAGGCGCTCGCTGACATTACAGAGGAGGAATCTGGGAAACTACTGGCCGATGAATTTAAAGCATGGGACCGGGCACACATACAAATCTACATAGGTAGACAACCCAAAGCAGCCTGAGAAAAAAATGTTGGTCATACCTAGGATCAATAGAGATGCACCTATCCAGTTGCATAACTTCTTTCGATTGAATAATTTTTGGATTCTATAATTTGTATTTGGATTCTATTCTACCGGTACTTTGCATGAACAGCAAATAAATCATGTCATGGCTGCTAGAGGTACAATTTCTTGACAAAATCACTGCTTAGGCGGCAACCGCACCAAGAGGTCTTTGAGTGGCATTCAGCAAAAAGCCGTCAAACCCGTCCACTGTGTCAGCTTTCCCTTCTTGAATCGTGACCATGAGTAGGGAAAGCATTTGATCAGCGTGTTGCTTGGCTTGTCTTGGTCGATGCAACATTTGGTAAATCTGTGCCGAATTGTTGATCATGGCCATGAAATAAGTGGTCTCGATTTGAAACGTGTCTTCCATTGGCAAGGCAACTAGTGCTTCGTACAGTTTCAGAGCTTCAAGCAGGTTTTCGTGTTTGTCGTTGTAGTCCACTGCTCGGAGTGCCATGAGGTGATGGCACAAGGCAAAGTTGAAAATGATGATCCAGGATAAGAATGTTTTTCCTTCTGTCTGCGGAAGATGCGACACATACAATGGTCGAGAGTACATAAGAACCGCTAGATCATCCAGTTCTTTGCGTCTCTTGTTTGATGTTGACAAATACTTTCCGCCTGGTCGTCTCGGGAACTTTTCTGAATTCTCGACGGATGATGATGATGACGACGATGACGACCATTCGTCTTTTTGAACCTTTTGAACGGCATTCAGAGCTTGGTTCAACGTTTCAATGGCTTTTTCGAAGGAATCCTTCTCAATTAGAGAAGAGGCTCGGTTGTTGAGATAGATTGCCGACTGCATGGTGTTGCTGGGATGCCTTTCGTGGGATTGTGAGAGGTGTGATATACCGGTATAATGTGACCGTCTAGCCTTTTTGAACTTCCTTCACTCTCGTATGAGCAAACGGACTTTTACACATACCATACTATGACTGCGAAAAAGCTGGCGAATATGTGGCGAACCATTTATATAGGAACTGTTCACTTTTGTAATTGGCTTTTTCCTCCTAAATGTTGATGTTGAATAGAAAGCTCCCCGCTTCACTACAAAAGCTTCTTCTGGAACAATGACGAGTCTCGCAAACGAAAGAATCTCGCGATGTTTTTCAACAAAAAGCTCATTCCACAAGGAAACGAATTTTATATATAATGACTCTTCAACTGCATGAAGGAATCAAAAGTTTGGAGGTTAAGTTGCGCGAAAATGCGGAATTTTTAAATTAAAATGCGTGACCTTCGCAAGGAGGCCAGAGTGACGTGGGAGTTTCAGTGGGCAGTTCCCTCCTTGTTATAATTAAAATACCGCTCATTTCGAAAAAAAATCTTCGCAATACTGCAGAGCGAAAGAGAACACCGTCTCACGGAGGCCAGAGTGACTGCAAGGAGTTTCAAAGGGCAGTTCTCTCCTTGTTTTCATTAATACCGCACACTTTGCAGGCAGAAATTGTGGGCGGTCCGACACAATTCGTGCGAAATTGTCTTTTAAAAACTTGTTCCCTCTGAATATCCCTCACAATATTCAACTCTGTATCCTCAACCTTGTCACAGCAACAATGAGCAGTTCCCTCAAAGATGCAAACGTATCCAAACGTGATCATATGACTATCACCGAGAATGCTGACGATGCTGCGCCTACTAACGGGGGAGAGAAAAGGAGAATTCGCGACAGGTCTTCTAGAAAGAGGAGATCAGATTCCAAGGGTCGGAGAAGTAGATCAGCATCCAAGGGTAGCAAAAGCTCCCACAAGATGAGCAGCGGAATTGGCCACAGACGACGCACCAAGAAAGCTGCAATGAAATCTTCTTCGCGCAGCGAAGGAAGTAATAGCGGCCCATCAGAACTTTTGTATGGAGACAAAAACACCAACAAGGCAAAATCAAAGGCATCACGGGGTATGACAAGGTCCCTCAAACCAGGTGCTGAGCTTGTCAGTCCATCAGGAAAAAGGAGGGACACTCTCAGCACTGCTGAAAGTACTGAAATATTGTACGGAGATGATGAAGCTAAGGCGAAAGCAAAGGCATCACGAAGCTCGAACGTTTCACTCAGACCCGATGCTAAGCTTGCCAGTTCGTCTGGACACAGCAAGAGTACTAACGATACCGCCCATACTACCGCAGTATTGTACGGAGATGCCGATGCCAAGAAGAAAGCAAAGGCATCATCGAATTCGAAAAGGTCCCTTAAACCCGGTGCTCAGCTTGTCAGTTCGTCTGGACACAGTAAGAGCACTGGCGACACTGGCCATAGTACTGCAGTATTGTACGGAGACGAAGATACCAAGACGAAAGCAAAGGTATCACGGGGCTCAAAAGGATCCCTCAGACCCGGTGCTGAGCTTGTAAGTGTATCGGGACACAGTAAAAGCACTGGTTGCAGCAACCAAACCACGCAAACATTGTATGGGGTGAGAAACGAAGATGCCAAAGCAAAGTCAAAAGTAATGCTGGGATCTTCTTCCCATCACAGCAGTAAAAGTATCGGCACAAAGAGTACTGTCGAAATATTTTATGGAGATGACGATGATCATGATCATGCCAAGAACAAAGTGAAGGGCGGATCGCGAAGAAGCTCCTCCAGATCCAACACGAATCCGGGAGTGAAACGCATGGGCAGATCATGGAGGAGTATGACTCCACCAGTGGATGGTCATGTGGTGCCATGTATGATGATTGACGATGGGCCCAATTCGTCACAGGCGAAGGACTCAATTGTTGGGGATTGGCAATCTGTGGCGTCCAAGGATCGAAAGTCAGGAAAGAAAGAGCCCGTTTCGTCCCGGTACAAAATGTGGATTATTTTGGCTGTCGCTATTCTTGTCATTGGCGGTGGAGTGACAGCCGTTGCCGTTCTCAGAAAACAAGGTGGACAGGTCCAAGATACTGGCTCCCATAATCCTACCACTGAATCGCCCGATCTTATATCCGAGCCTCCAGCCGGCTCCCTAAAAGAAACACCAACAGCGCCACCATCAAAAAAGCAGGTGCTGGATCCACCTAGTGCTGAAGACTGTACTGCCATTACAAACAACCAAACCATTCCAGGAGACAATACATTGTCCAAAAGCAACTGGAATGCCAACATTCAGATCAATGTCAAGGGTGAAAGTGGAATGACTGATGAAATGGTACAGCAATTGTTGGATTCCATTCAAGAGCTCTTGCTTCCGGCCATGGCTGGTTGCACTAATGGCGATCAGCGAAAGCTAATCGAATTGGCAAACCCAGTCATGTCAGGAGTCTCCAAAGAAATGGGAGAAGACCTTGATGAGTCTCGATATGCGATTCTATTCGCTAGTGTCAAAGGCAAATTGCTGAAAGATACAGTCTGTGTGGATGCAACAACTCCCGAGCTATGTTATGTTGTCCTTGTCGAGTTTTCTTTACTGTTGGATGCTGATATTACTTCTGCCGATGTTGAGGCCATTATATTAGAGGAATTGGCAAACGGCAACAACATGGTATCAAAGTTGGAGCTTGATGATTTGTTCCTATCAGTGAATGCAAGAAATATCATTGATGTGACACCTTCCGAAGCTCCCTCTGCCCCGCCAACTGATGTTTCATCTAGACCGCCAAGCAACAGTCCGACAAAGTCTCCTGCAGCTCAGTCGGCAACAGAAGGTCCTGATAGAATCCCGACACCCGTGCCAGTGCCGCAACCAACGCGTGTTCCAGGTACACCAACATCCATTCCTGTTGAAGCACCCACGTTGGCTCCCATTCGATCTCCTTCTGCTATGCCAACGGGCGCTCCAGGTACTCCAACATCCATTCCAGTTGAAAAACCTACATTGGCTCCCATCCGATCCCCTTCTGCCATGCCAACGGGCGCTCCAAGTACGACCTCGCCATCTCCCATGTCACTCATGACTCCACCTTCTGCACCAACATCCTCGATGCCAGCTGTCGGGTCATCACCGCCGCCAACCGTATCACCGACAGCTTCGGCTTCAAGCTCACCGTCCACGAAGTCATCGGTAGCACCAGAGGCTCCGTCAACACCTAGCCCTATGATTGAGCAAACGTTATTACCGACAGGTTTGACTTCAAGCCCGGTTTCCACAAAGCCATCGATGACACCATTTTCGTCACCAACATACATGCCGGTGCTCGGACCAACGCCTCCTCCAACAGTATCACCCACTGCTATGGTTTCAAGCTCACCATCAATAACGCCAACACGTGGTCCAACAATGAAGCCTATCGTGGCAACACCAAATCCAACTGCTATTCCCAGTCGTGCTCCAACAGCAAAACCGACGCCTGGGCCCACGCCAGCTCCAACATCTGCTCCGACACCTCGACCAACACCAAATCCTACCCCCGAACCAACTCCGAATCCAACAACAACTGCTCCAATCTCTGGTGCTCCAACCAGCTTATTCTGCTGCTCGAACAATCTGAAAGACTGCAATATCCCTGATCCAACGTGCAATTCTAGCTTGCTAAACTGTAGCAGTTGCAATGGGTATTTCATCGAGCAGGGTAGCTGCACCACCGGGATCGCCAAATTTGAGGATTGCACCAGCAATGTGTTTGGCTGCTGTGCGACGCTTAGCTGTGTTGCACAGGATTTATTCTCTTCACGATGCGAGTAGTGTAGACATGTCAATTTCCATGGTCACAAATAGCTAAAATTGAGGCACTCATCAATGAGGGCCTCTAACTGATAGGTCTTGCCTTTTTATATTTGATCAAGGACCACACCGCCCAATGTCTTACTAGGTTTTGCGTATGCTGCTTTCGCCATATACATCCTTTGGCTCGACTTGGATTTAGGTACAGTGGTATGTACTGAACGCATTGAAATTATGCCGTCGTATTTACATAGTCTTTTGAAGCCGTTTGACAAACGAGACGGCATGAGCAGATAGATGGTACTGTACTGCTAGTCTGGGCTGGCAGAGAGACCAGAGTTTAGCGAATTTTAATTTTTCCACACCGTATTTTGTTGTTTCAAAAATAATTAAAAAGTAGAATTCTCCGATTTCCTCAGTTTCCCACACTTTTGAATTTTTTACCCAACTCTTCCCGATAATACTGGCCGATGAAGTTGAAGCATGGAATCGGGTCTATATCCGTAGACAACCCAAAGCGACCTGACACTACCATTGGCAATTCAATAGAGATTCACCTATCCAGTTTCATAAGTTCTTTTGATTTCAATAATTTTTGTATTCTATATTTTTATTTGAATTCTACTCTACTTTGCATAAACAGCAAATTGAAAATATATTGGGTTGCATGAACACCATGTGATGGTTGTTGGAGGCACGAGGATTTCTGGACAAAATCACTGCTTAGGCGGCAAAGGCAAGAGATCTTTGAGTGGCATTCAGCAAAAAGCCGTCAAACCCGTCCACTGTGTCAGCTTCCCCTTCCTGAATCGTGACCATGAGTAGGGAAAGCATTTGATCCGCGTGTTGCTTGGCTTGTCTTGGTCGATGCAGCATTTGGTAAATCTGCGCCGAATTGTTGATCATGGCCATGAAATAGGTGGTCTCGATTTGAAACGTGTCTTCCATTGGCAAGGCAACTAGTGCTTCGTACAGTTTCAGAGCTTCAAGCAGGTTTTCGTGTTTGTCGTTGTAGTCCACTGCTCGTAATGCCATGAGGTGATGGCACAAGGCAAAGTTGAAGATGATGATCCAGGATAAGAATGTTTTTCCTTCTGTCTGCGGAAGATGCGACACATATAACGGTCGAGAGTGCATAAAAACCGCTTGATCATCCAGTTCTTTGCGTCTCTTGTTTGATGTTGACAAATACTTTCCGCCTGGTCGTCTCGAGAACTTTTTTGAATTCTCAAAGGATGATGATGATGATGATGACAACGACGACGATTCGTCTTTTTGAAGCTTTTGAACGGCATTCAGAGCTTGGTTCAACGTTTCAATGGCTTTTTCGAAGGAATCCTTCTCAATTAGAGAAGAGGCTCGGTTGTTGAGATAGATTGCCGACTGCATGGTGTTGCTGGGATGCCTTTTGTGGGAATGCCTTTTGTGGGATTGTGATCGTCAAGCCTTTTTGAATTTTTTTCTCACTTGAGCAGAACGGACTTTTACACTTGGATAAAAAATCCGCTCTGAAGTTGGGATTGGTTGTGAAACAGGAACCAGGCAATAAGTTTTTTCTTCGGCGAATCCTGGGCGATCCGTTTGGATACACACTTTGTTCACGTTCATAGTTAATGCGGGCACTAAAAATTTGGATACATCCCGAAAAAAAAGCCCCCCCACTGGTCCTTCTTTACAATTACTCGTGCTAGTACGTGTACATGCACGTGCCGGTACGTGTACAGGTACGGTGAGTGGGTCGTGATATGAAAGAAATTCTGTGATCATAAAATACCGGTAGACCCCGCTACCTGTTAGTCCCGCCTAATCAGAGCAGAATTGAATCGTTCTTGGTGAGAAATTCTGAAGCGTCCAAATTCTAAAGCGTCCAAATAAAAGCGAAGAAGGAACGTAATACAGTGTAGAATACAGGCCAAAAGGCACCAGTACCATACCTTCTTTGGGCGAGCGAGAAGCCAGATTTCTGCACTACTTAACCGTTACATTGCCTCATTCGCTACAGCACCATGCATTCCTATTTTCGTGCTTGAGATTGGTTCTGCTCAGTTCCAACAAGGAACCGGGGTGATGATTGAAGAAACAATCGATTCTAGACCATTGTCATAGCACCATGCCGTCTTGGAACTTGCGTCGCTGTTGGCGAAGAAACCTTCGAGGTTGCCGTCCTTGAAGTCCCCGCACAGGAGACTCGTTTGTGGATGAGTTTTTGGACAGCATAGCCAAATCGAAACGCTGCAGCCAAGCGTGGATGCAAGAATCGAATATCCAGCTCAAACTGTTTTATTCCAAAACAGTGAAACAGCAGGACAAGGGTTTTCTTGCGGCTGCTGTTACTGCAGCTTCGGTTCGTAGTGGGTCCACATATGAGATTGGCACCTACATCTCGACTAACTCAGGAGCATCCTCTGGAAGACCAGATCTCAGCTATACGCAAGGTCACAGAGACCCTGCAGTTGATCTCGCAGCAGTTGCTAAAGAAGAAATGCACTTATAGATTGTATATCAAAAGTTCACAATCGCAAGAAAGAGACAGGAATAACTTGCAACTCCTTCTCCCCCCTCGATCGTCTCTGGACAACAATGCCATCAGAATGCGCAGTCCGATCGGTCTACCATTGTCGTGGCATCCACTGAATGGGAAGAATGCGATGCAATCTACCCGCCAGTGAAACACATTAAGGAAGCTCTGCAGGATAAAAGGGGAAAAAGGCATGAAAGGATGGATATACTGTATGTTTGGACTTGAACAAATGGAACAATAAGTCGAAATTGGATAGCTGGAAGTGGTGATTGAAATCCTGCCAACTTTGTAAAATGTATTGACAAAGCATGCCACAAGTGGTTGGTTTGGATTTTCATCCTAGATATGAAGAAATCCACGGCGGTGGGACAAATGCCAAAACATATCAATCTGGAAGTTGGTTGACTTTGTACCAGTGACAAGAATCTGAAGAGAACGGTGATGACGAGTCACCCGAACAACGTGGAAATGGTGGACTAATCGTCCCATCATGGCCTATGCGAGGAGACTGATGAATTGGAATCAAATTTAGCAGCTGCACAAGAATATAAGCGATGATGCGTGTGGCTCTTGGTACATGGTGAAACGATTGATGCCGGCGGAAGAAAAGAAAACTCAATCGAACAAGTAGCAAGTCAAGGTTATAGTCAGCATTGTGGATGTCAAGTTATGTCATGCCGAACTTGAGGATGACTCTAGGTTTTTGGAGGCAATGACACCAGAAAACAGGAAATCTTGTACAGATCATTTGAAGGATCGTCTCAATGCAAATATTGCGGTGGTAAACCAATCGCAGAAGAAGCCCTTGTTTAGTGATGATAGTGATAGTGATAATGATAAGAACTATAGTAGTGAAGAACATATTTCTAGTCTGTCATATACATGACCATGGTTATTGGAGCCTTGTTGGTATTTCGCATATCCGTTTTCCAGCCATTGGCGTACTCCGACCAGCAGCCTCAAGCTTGTCTGTCAAGTTCAATGGAATCTTACGTTGACTTGCTCAATTGTTGATGTGGTCAAAAGTAGGCCATAACAGGTGCATTGTTCATGGTTGCGACAAATCTTATGAAATGATGCTCTGCACAAATGACGGAAAATATGATCCGTGAAAATCATGAGAGAATATTGTGTTGTATACTTTTTATTTGGATAATTTTACTCTACTTTGCATGATAAAAGCAAACATATTGGGTTACATACTACACATAATGTCATGTGATGGATTTCTGGACAAAATCGCTCATGCCGCTACCGCAAGAGATCTTCGTGTGGCATTCAGCAAAAAGCCGTCAAACTCGTCCACTGTGTCAGCTTCCCCTTCCTGAATCGTGACCATGAGTAGGGAGAGCATTTGATCCGCGTGTTGCTTGGCTTGTCTTGGTCGATGCAACATTTGGTAAATCTGTGCCGAATTGTTGATCATGGCCATGAAATAAGTGGTCTCGATTTGAAACGTGTCTTCCATTGGCAAGGCAACTAGTGCTTCGTACAGTTTCAGAGCTTCAAGCAGGTTTTCGTGCTTGTCCTTGTGGTCCGCTGCTCGGAGTGCCATGAGGTGATGGCACAAGGCAAAGTTGAAAATGATGACCCAGGATAAGAATGTTTTTCCTTCTGTCTGCGGAAGATGCGACACGTATACTGGTCGAGAGTACATAAAGACCGCTAGATCATCCAGTTCTTTGCGTCTCTTGTTTGATGTTGACAGATACTTTCCGTTTGGTCGCCTTGAGAACTTTGGTGAATTCTCAAAGGATGATGATGATGATGATGACAACGACGACGATTCGTCTTTTTGAAGCTTTTGAACGGCATTCAGAGCTTGGTTCAACGTTTCAATGGCTTTTTCGAAGCAATCCTTCTCGATTAGAGAGGAGGCTCTGTTGTTGAGATAGATTGCTGACTGCATGGTCTTGTGCTGGGATGCCTTTTGTGGGATTGTGAAAGGTGTGATGCGACGTCAAGCCTTTTTTTTTAAATTTCCTTCTCACTTTTGTGGGCAGAACGGACTTTCCACATAGACCGAAAATCCCCTCTGAAGTATGAAAAAATGACTTCCCGTTATCTTTTTTATTAAGTATTTCATACCACGAGTCTGTGGCGAACGATATGTGGATAGGCACTTTGTCCACGTTTGTAGTTGGCGTCGGAGTAATTGTTCCTGAATGTGGCTTGTAGAAAGCTGCATATATACTCGTACATTCCGAAAAAGAAACGCCCCCGTAATGGTATGAAAGCAAAAACATTTCTTCTGTTTTTTTAGTGGAACAAATACTCGTACCATAGGTACAGTACACATATCGCCTGCGTCCTGATAAATGACTCGAACCCTGCTACTCACTTTACAAACGCATGAACGTTTCTTCTGCTTTTCTAGTAGAGTGGAACAATGACTCGTATTACCTGGCATGCTGCTACAGTATGCACGACGCTACTGTGTGAGCAGAATTGACAATAGAAAATATGGCGTTCGTTCTGGAAAGCCAAGAAAGGAGAATACCGGCCAAAAGAAGGTACTACACCTACAGTACTACCTCCTTTGGGCGAGCGAGATGCCATATGTCTACACTCCACTCCTCTCCTCTAACCATTTAATGTGTTGCCTCATTCACTATTGCATCCATGTTTTCGTGCTTGCGATTGGTTCTCAGTTCCTTTTATTTTAAAAACTGGTGGAATTGATGCAGTGAGGAATGGACTCTGCTCTGAATACTAGTAGCTAGAACACTCTCATAGTAGCATCACATTGTCTTGGAATTTTCGTCGCTCTTGGTGGCGTTGGTGACAAAACCTTCAAGGTTCCCGTCCTGAAGTCCCGTGCAGCAAAAAGCCGCCCTTCTTGCTACTTGCCATTTGTTGGAATATCCTTCTTGGAATACTAGGTATTCTTCGTACTAAGAATGGACGACGCATTCTTCTTTTCATCATCATTGTAGTAGTAGCGCACCCCTAATGGTGTTGCAAAAGAATGCTCCAAAGTAGTAGTAGTAGTTTCCACCATTTTCATAGAACACAATTGTTTGACCATGCAGTGGACCATGAACCTTTGGAATAGTGCTCACTCTTCGCTTTCGAACTGTACGCAAGTACCACTTAGCTCCCAAAAGAGACTTTTTATATTGTAAAGTTGCCCGAAGGCGACACGCTTGTTTAGCTCAGTTGGTTAGAGCACCTCATTAGTAATGAGGAGGTCCGTGGTTCGAATCCGCGATCAAGCTTTTGCTCATTTTCAAAACTATCATGTTATTTTTGCACTTTGCAGAAATTCGAAGAAGCGATCCACAATGAGTATTGAAAATAGTGAAACATGATATGAGCGAGTGTATCGGTATAGCACCACCAATCATAATATAGCGTGAAGAGAGAAGCAGTCTTATTATTAATAATACTTCTCTTTGTACCGACCAAGAGACCTAATACAGTTCTTTTTTATCTTCCGTTTTGTTTGTTTCGATTTGCTTCCCTGGTCTGGCCATAGTACGGATTCATTCAAATTCCTTGTGACCTTTTGTACCAAAGTCTACGGCCATTGCTCGTGCAATGACAACCACGCCCTTCAAAAGCAAAATCCTGCTGTCTGTCCAACACTTCACCGGAAAGCTGCCCATCATCCCGTCTATTGCAGTACAGTACAACGCTACCTTCAACGGTCACTACCAAGCCATCCTCTATTCTTAGATCCTTCCTTCCATTGATTGACTTGTTTGATAGACTTTCCATCTCTATCTCTATTCCATTCAATCGACTTTTCAGCCAACACAAACGCCAATTCCAACAGCCAACCTTTTTATTTATTTCCCATCCCCCAATTAATACTCAAAATGAGTGAAGAAGAAAAGACCGCAACTCCTGCTCCTGCTCCTGCCGATGCTGAAGAGGCACCTGCCAAGGAAGAACCCAAGGAGGAAGAATCTACTGCCCAATTTGAACCTGTGGTGAGTCATTTTTGAATGTAGTCAAAGGAGCATCATTGTGATAAGAAAAGAGATTGAAAATAGCCAATGCTATTTTCAACTCTCTTTGTCTTGCCTTGGTTGCTTCCTTGTTTGCTTCTGCATCCCGTTCCTACTTTTGTCCATGTTTCTATATTGTTGCAATCATCTCACCAATCCTGTTTGTCTCTCTTTTTTTTCTCTTGTCTTTTCCTTGGATTCCAATTCTGGATATTGAAACGTGTGTGTTGGCTTTTTCCTGCTTCCGTTTCACTTTTCATCTTTATACGTCCCAACTCCAAACGTTCCACACCGACGCTAATGCCTTTCCATTCCATATTATATGAGAATAGGTCAAATTGGAAGAAGTAGAGGTAAAATCAGGAGAAGAAGACGAAGAAACCGTCTTTGGAGTCCGATCCAAGCTGTTTTTGTATGGTGAAACCTTGTTGGACGTTGGTTCTGGCAACAAGACATGGAAGGAACGTGGAATTGGTGAAGCTCGTATTCTGAGACACAAAGAACACCAACGCCTCCGATTGCTAATGCGTCAAGAAAAGACCATGAAGGTCATTGTCAACCATGCATTGGATCCACGCATCAAATTGGAACCCAATGTTGGATCGGACCGATCGTGGGTCTGGTCGGCCTTTGACTTTGCCGAAGGAGAGTTGAAAGAAACTGTCTTTGCTTTGAGATTTGCCGACTCTGATATTGCTCAAGAATTCAAAAAGAATTTTGAAGAATGTCAAGCAGAGATGGAAAAGCTACTGGCTGGTGAAG